TATAGTGCTTGGAAGTGCATAAATGCAAGAGAGGGAGGAGAAGCAGCATTTTCTGCATGATATTATGAGTATCTGATGTTCTCCATTTAGACAGTTCGACATTGTTTTAAATAATATGTACCACAAGGTAGCTTTAAATATCTCTTTCTTCTTCATAAGTATGGGTTGGAAGTTGGAACTGAGAGTTGCTGTATCATCACGTTTCTTCACAATGGATGCTTTAGTGTTAGGTTGTGGGTTAAAGCTAAGTGAAGACTGTTTAATACTGATTAATACTAAATCAATGCCTATCAGTGGGATTGAGTGGTTGTAAGTGTTCTCATATTTTTTTTCCTAATTGTGGAATGAATCAGTGTATTACACATGTTTACCACATCTTGATATATTGTATTATTATATAGTTTAATTTTTCTATCCTTCAATTGAAAATGACTTTTTCATGGTTGAACATATGATGGTTTATTACATAATTTACCATATTAGAAACATAACAGTAGTTTGAGATTACTTGTTAAATCGCCAATTTTCCAAGTAGATTACCTACTATAGGTTCCTTGTAAGTAACCTCAGAACTTCTCTATCACAAGATCATTCAAATGCCTCTGGAGAACTTTTTTTTTTTATATAAGTGTGCCCCTAGGAAGAACATTATATGTTCAGTTTTGCTTCTTGTCATGCTGCAATTATACTCAGGCTAGTGGTCATACATATGAGATATGACATATGCCTTGTAGACTGCAACAATGAATTTCTGGCTAGTAATTTTTTGTCAAGCTTTAAACCATTGCTTCTGAAATGAAGATAATTTTGTTCTTATTGTTACTTCTTTGATCCTGTGTGGCAACTAGTAACATAGTGGCTTCTTTTTAACGTGTCTAAAGTTTGAAGTTGTGACTTGTGACCATGTGATCTCAATGGTTAGAAAAGTGTGGTTGATATCAAGCACCATGAATGCATCTGTTAGTAGGAATCCTGAAATAATTGAGCAAAATATTCCATTATTTTGAACAGATTTTTCTAACTAGATGGCAGCTGTCATTTTGCTTTACTATTTTGTGCTTACTTATGGGAAATGTAGTTCTTTTAAGAAATTAAGTGATTCCCATGTTAATGTCCCTTTGTCTGAATTGTTTATGGAATTTACACTCTCTGCTTTATTCTTCACAATGGTTTACATTCTGTTAGATTCATGTTTAACTGAAGTGTAGTTAGTTTGATTCATTGTTGATTGTTCATGTTCTTTTTACGTACATGCAGTAAATCAGAATATGTCATATACAAGCTGAAGGAGATGGGAAAGGTGTCGGAAAAGGACGTCCTGCAGATCTGTCAGAAGTTTGACAAACTTGATGCTGGCAACTGTGGAAAAATAACTCTGGTCGACCTTATGGAGTCATCAACAAGAGGCAAGTGAAGATATGGCTAGGTTGGATTGTACCCATCTGAATCTAAGAGGTTCGTGTGAACTTCAATCCCTGGTCAGTTGGTCCTCCTCATGGTTTTGCCCTTTTGATAGACAGACCACTCAATCTTACATGCATCTTATCCACTAGAAAGCATCGACCAATGTATTATTTAGCAACTGTACACATCTTTGGTCTGATGCAGGAGATGGTTGGACAGAGTCTGCTTAGGGTGTCAATGTTTTTATGCAAAAACTCTTAGCATACATAAATTGCATTATTCTTCCTAAGATCCTCCAATCGTCCTGCTTTGTTATTTCGTACATATAGAATGTAAATTCTTATCAATCATAAAATCACCATAAAGCTCTCCTGTCTCTCTACTCTTGATTGATCTGATTTTTCCCAGTGCACAGAATTTGGACTATGCTCAACAGGGTTAACCCTCCATGTTTCGAAGTACCTCCACAGAAGTCTCTTGAAAAAGGAGCATCTAGTTCTTGTTGGCCCATTCATGGTCAGTGTAGTGTAATACATTCAAGGATCTGGTCCTAATTCCACATTATGCAGACATACTTGTTTCAATTAATGGTAAAATGTCTGGAAAACTTTGGACTGCCCTGCACTGTGGACACATCATCTGAAGTTTGGACCAGGTCCTTGCAGTCTATTCCGTTGATCAAACATAAGATTTTTTAATAACAGTCAAATTCCAAGTCCAGCATTTACTGGTTACAGGGCCAATGAGGACATCATAATTGCACCTTGAATCGTATGAAAGCACGCCTCGAATTGAATTGAAGGCACCGGCTCCTCCAAAGAACTCTTTCCATGCTGCCTTCTAGAAATGAAGGCAATTCAATTTTTTAAAAAATATATTGTAGGAGCTCTCTATGCATTGGTGCAGCCGGCGGACCTTGACAACCCATTGTTTTACGTTTTTCCGCTAGCCAGAAAATTCCAACTTGCTACTTTAATTCTTTAGTTTGGTTCATGGAAAACGTGGAGGAGAAAGCATCAATTGAGATTTTTTTGAATTAATTGCCTCACGCTCCTATACATTTGAAAAGATAAAGGAATCCTTCTATGGGTTCAACTTTACTCAGTCCACAAACGATTGTAACAATTTGTGGACTGAGTTCGAATCCCCTGAAACTTTCTATGGCCAAGCAAAAAGGGAAAAGAAAAATCAAACATGAGATTAATTAAGGTCAAGAGCTTCTAAAAGGTGTGCACATTCAACATGATGACACGACCAGCAATATCAGTGCAATATCTTTTCCCTGCCATCTTAGTAGAAGAATTCGAACAACTTTGATTTTGAAAGCCGGCAAAGTACCAATTGGACCATAATTGTAAAATAAAGTTCATTTCCTCCTTAAAGTTAAAATCTTCCAAAAGCCTTACCCAATGACTTGATCAAAGCAATCCGTTAGTTTTGGAAAACCATATTCAGGCTTCTTCTTTGGGTGACAACACAATTCCACTCTACTAGAAGTGCTCATGATTTATTGACTACATTGAAGAATCATGGCTACCTTTTTGAATTTTTCACATGGATTTTCTAATTAATTTTAATTTCTTGTGATATTTATGCTAACATTAGATGATTTGTCAAACGATATTACCTCTCGGTTACTTCGTTTAGAAGTTGAATCTTATTGACTTAAAACAAAAAACAAAACAGTGTATCAACTATATCAATTATACTTATGATTTAACAACTTATAATTACATTTATAAGAGTAATTAGTCACGTAAGATGACGTGAATGCTTGAAACCTGGTTATTCAATTAAGGGAATCAATCTTATCATGGCACTGCGACTAAATTCCTATACTCTTTTGAATTATGATGAAATGCATAGTGTGCTCTATACATGATGTTGACTAGATGGGACCAAAGACCTTGAATGAAGGAATAAATGAATAATTTTTAATTAACATTGTAATGTATGGGTCATGGTAAGGCTAAGTCAACTCATCCTCCATTGCAATTTTTGAAAGAATTATTTGTAAAAATGACTCCTTTCACTTTCATCCCCTATCCTTTTCTCTATAATTACTAGTTGGTAAAGTGGTAGGGTCACATTAATTAAAAAAATAATTAACCTATCAAAGTAGGGTTGTATAATTAGATAATATACTTTAAAAAGCATAGTATTAGTAAATTAAAGAGGAAATATTGAAAGCATAAGTAGTTAGAATGAGTCAAATTATTTTTTGACTATTGAAAGAATCAAACCAGTATTAAGACCTTTCACATTCGAAGCTGATTTTAGTTAGCTTTAGACGCAAAATTGGACTTAATTAATTTTATGCATCATGTAAATTTTGAATTTTTTTTAAAACTTATTTTATAACATTGCCAAATTAATTGGGGGTTTGTAAAAAATGTTCATTATTATTATTATTATTATTATTATTATTATTAAAATTTGGAAATCTTGACCCATTGGGAGGCATTTTAAGTGGAGTAGATGGTGAATTGTGATTGGTGCACGTTGACTTTCGCTTTCAAGTCAATACAAAGTAGATAGATAAAAAGACAATAAGGTGATAAAGGTGTTAGTGATGAAGATTGATTACTATATCTTAGCTAACTTTTTTTTTCCCCCTTTATTTGATGAATGAGTTGTATAATATAATTGATCTTTTTTATATAAAATTTTACAATTTAAAATCTTTAACTCTTCTAAGTTAAAACATATAATTAGAAACTATGTTTAGAATACTTGAATTCCTAATTTTGATTTCAAAATTAAGTATGGTATATATGTTGTTGGCTAATTATGCATACACCTTTTTGCTAATTCTTCGTCAATATCATTCCTCTCAAAATCAAACCTCTCTAACTTTTCAAGTTTTCTATGGAAAGAGGCAATGTTCCAAACTCTAGAGATTCTAGATGGTTTGAAAGCGAGGGAATTGGATTCAAATTTTTCTCTTCAAAATAAGAAGCATCATAACATTATAAATTATAATTATAATTATAATTACAATCATAAAACGTGAAAAACTATCAAAGTTTTCATTCTAAATCCCTTTTCTATAAAAAGTACTTAGGTATGGCTATGTAAAGTAATTTTCATGCAAACCAAACCAAAAATGAAGTTTCATAAAATCCTGTGTTTCTTGAACCAAAGGTAAACTCTCACTTTTATGGATGATTTCTTAATTTACTTTATGAAGTGGTCCAAACTCTTTGCATTCTCATTTTGATTTTAATGGTATAATTGACATTGGACCTGAAAGGATGTTAAACTTCTGCAAATGAAGAATACGATCACACAAGCAGCTGCCATATTAATCGCTTGAGAAATACTTATTCCTACCTAATATTGTAAATTTTGTTCACCCTTGGGAAGGCTTTCTCTCTTTGGCCTACAAATGGTAATATGTAAGGGTGCAAAAATGTTGAAAGCCTTTCAATTTTTAAGATATCACACTTTCATGAGTCTTAATTCCGATGTTAATGATCTTCATTTGTAACTGAACTTTGAAGACATGAATTAAATATGATGCACGCAAACAGACTCATAGAAGTTGAGATGTGAACTAGGAGAGCCTTATTTTTCGGCATCTAAAGTATGAAATTGGGGGGAGTTAGGCTTCGGCAATCCCAATTGGTTCATGCCCCATCAACATCAAAAAGATTCTTTTTTCAGTGTACACACCTAACAAAAAACCTGCCCCCCCCTCTATATAGATAGTGACTTCCATGCATGAATATAATATCTATATACAAATGGCATATTTTATGTCACATATAATGGATGCAAAACTGATTATATAAAAGGGTCAACAATCTCATGCTTTTTTTGTTTAATTCAAAACCCTCCATCAAAAGTCGTCCAGTTTAAGCAACCCCTTTAATTCCACACAAATCCTATCCTATGCCTTTATGTGTATACACATATGCCATAAACTTTATTATTGATATATATATATATATATATATATATATTTATCTGTACATTTCCCTTATATCTAGTTGCTCCATTTACATTTCTCTTTTTATTTTAATGGCAGCATAATTTTTTTTTAAATTTTTTTATTTTCCCAAGTCCACTTACTCTTAAAATCTCTAATATAAAAACTTTAACTCTTAAAATTAGAACATGAATTAATTCTTAACATCATCTTTTCCTCTTTTATCCTTTTATTCTTTTCTAAATAAGCATGTTCTTACAAATGTTATCCTGACAAGATGTGTTATTAATCACTTAAACAAAATACCTCAATGGATTAATAGTCAAGACTTAGGAATAAATGTGAATGCGACTCATAAATAGAGGCCAACCATTTTTTAATATCCTTTTTACTTTTATTTTTAAGGTAAAGATAAATCCTTGAAGTTTAATAGTCAAATTAACCTAACATATCTCATGACAAAATGTAGTATAAATCTTGATATCAACTTGTAATCAACTTAAATTTTTATATAAAAAATTCTTGAATTCCATTTTTTTGCCTAATTTTGTACTTTAATTGACTAGATTAATTGTTACGAGATACCATTCATTTTTTATTTTAAATTTTTGCAATGAAGACATGATAAGATTATAGTATAAATATGCTTCTATTATATAGTAAATTAAAGTGAAATTTATTTAATTAAAAATTTGAAATTTGGTTAATGTCATGTCAAGCATAAGTGTGACCTCCCCTTAATTAATTAGCTAGTTTTTTTTTTTTTTTTCATGAAATCAGCAAAATGCGACATCAAATAAGTTCCTAATATTGTTACTCAACAACTAACATTTTAAGAAGGTAGGTAGATGTCATACCATTAGATACAATGCAGCTATTGCTATGAATGGAGGTAATCATCAAAGATTTTTGTTTTATAGAAAAAAAGAAAGAGAGTCAAGATTGTCTTTGTGAAAGAAACCATTAAGATGAATAAAATACGATGTAATAGAATTGAAATGATTTTTTTTTTTTTTTCTGGTTCCCCAAAAATAAAGTTTAGTGTGGTAGCTGGGGAAGGATGCTGTTGGAGTGGTTTCAGTGAATGAAGTCCATTGT